AATTGCGCACCAGACAAGGATTTTATGTGTACATTTTGCTGTATGTTTGTATCTAACATTGTCAGGGCATTCCTCTACGTTGTTCGTATGAAATCCGTCGTTTCCCTTCATGTCAGAATTTTTCCATTGGCAAAATGTACCCGCTTCAGTTGACGACAGCATCATTGTATATGAAGGAGTTGCGCTTGAAAGTATTTGGGGCACTTAAGTCTCTTTCTATTTAAGACCATTACTCCTCAATTCCAATGATATCGTACTCTTAGGGCCAATGTCACCAAACATTAATATTTGACGGTCAGTTTGACCAATATAAATTGCGTAACTACTTTGCACGATAATCACAAAAAATTTCGCGCAAGTAATTCAATAGGCCTATATCATAGTGTAGAAGTTTATCATATACCTGTGTATGAAATTCACAAGGGCCGATATGTAAGTAAACAAGATGACTGTAATCTGTTAGTTATATATTCTTCACTTCGTCTATACAATACATAAGAAATAGCTTGGTTAATAAAGTAGAATCACGTAAAAGAATAGTTGTATAGTTGACAAAAACTGAATCTTGCACTGACGCAAATGTCCTATAGCGGCTGCAAGAGGCTTACACTTTTCTTGCATAACTGTTACCTGCAGCCCTTCTACAACGTCTTAAGTGACTCAAGTGTCCTATTAGGTGTGCCCATTCCGCTTGTATAGCTGTTCTAAGAGGGTTTTGCAAGTTCTTACAGTATACAATGCGGTGTAAGGAATACTATAATCATTCTTGCAACTCTAATAGGAGTGATACCGATCAACAGCAAAAATATCCTAAATAAAATCAACAAAATATTACTATTTTTAATGTGCTAAAACCGGAATGAAACTTATTTTTCAATATTAGTTCAAGTTTTAGATATGGTAATTATGTGTTCGTGCTGTGACAGTGTTAATATACTGTAATTCACAAGAATTCACGTGCTACATTTTTATATTCGGCAAGGAAAGATGATGTAATCGGCATGATTGTGTTACGTTATACATACGTGTACATTATATTGTTTTATATTAGCCATTTTTCCTCAGTTGGCTGACAGCGTTCATGCAAGATGTCTCGAAAGTGTGTAAATAATCCAGATCAGTTTTGTTACGTGTGTGGTGATGTGACTTTTGCGTCTCAGAGACGGTCTATTACTCCACTAATAACAAAGGCATATCAGCTTTATTTCGGTTGTAAACTAGGTGATCAAGACAAACAGTGGGCACCCCACATCTGCTGTAATACATGTGCTTCAAGTCTGAAGGAGCTGGTTAAATGGCAAAAAACGGTCTATGCGCTTTGCTGTCCCAATGGTTTGGAGAGAGCCTACAAATCATATTAATGATTGTTACTTTTGCATGGTACCTTGTGTTGGACAAGCCACAGGTATGTCCAAGAAAAAAAAATCGGTTATTAACTACCCAAACATACCATCTGCGATGAGACCTGTGCCTCACAGTGACGAAAATCCTATTCCAAAACCCCCAGAATCCTACACTTGCGAATCAGAAAACGAATCAGATCATGGCGATCGAGTGATTCGTCAGGAAGAAGATATGCCATCAACGTCAAGAGATCCTGATTTTATACCGATCACGTCATGCCACCAACCGCACAAAATAACACAGTCAAATTAAATGATCTTGTAAGAAATTTAGAACTTCCAAAATGTAAGGCAGAGTTTCTTGGAACAAGACTGCAGCAGTGGAACTTGTTAGAAGTCGATGTTTCGGTATGTGTTTTTCAAACGCCACAAAGACTTAGAACCATTTTTCAATATGGAGAATAACCTGGTTTTCTGCAGTAACATTAACGGCTTACTGGCGGCTTTAAATATAAACTATAACCCAGAAGAATGGAGATTGTTTATAGACAGTTCAACTTTTGAGTTTAAAGGCAGTGTTATTGCATATTGGAAATATTTTACCATCTCTTCCTGTAGGGTATGCAGTTCACATGAAAGAATCATATGACAATATGAAGTACCTATTGACATGCATAAAATACGATGAGCACCAATGGCATATTTGTGGCGATTTGAAAGTTGTTGTCACTTTACTTGGGCTGCAGCTAGGCTACACAAAGTTTTGCTGTTTTATGTGTGAATGGGACAGTCGGGCAAAGGCACTTCATGACACCAGACAAAGCTGCCTATTCGTCAATTCCTAGAGCCAGGTCAAAAAACTGTATAGCATATGCCATTAGTAGATTCGAAAAAAATTTTATTACCACCACTGCATATCAAGTTGGGCCTAATGAAAAATTTCCAATACTAAGTGAGGCAAAGGTTAAAGAAGGTATTTTTGTTGGGCCACAGATTCGAAATATTTTGAAAGATACACAGTTTGAAAACACTTTAACAGGTATTGAAAAAACTGCTTGGAATGATTTCGGTCGGGGGGGCACTAATTGCTTGGGAAATAGAAAAGCTGACAACTATAAAACCCTGGCCAAAAAGTATGCTGTCATCGTATCAAAAGATGGGCTGTAATATGTCTCTTAAGAGTACATTTCCTACACTCACACCTGAACTTTTTTCCTGACAATTGCGGAGCCGTAGTATGAGCACGGCGAACGGTTTTCATCAG